CTAAGTCACAGGAAAAGAGTAGACAAAGGAACATATTAAATGACACCACAGAAATGCAATGAGAAAATCAAGACCAAAACTTCATAGGGCAAATGACTTATTTTATTTCTTCTCAGCAAATAAATTGCAAGGAAAAAAATGGTGGTGAAGTAAATACTGAAGATTAAAAGAGGAATCAGAGACATATCAACAAATACTATGTGGACCTTGTTTGCATCCTGATTTAAACAAACTGAAAAAGAAACAACAAATTTTACAGTTATAAAACTAGGAAACTAAACACCAACTAGGTATTTATTATTAAGGCATTATTATTCAATTGTTTTAATGTGTGAAAATGATATGTAGTTATTTTTTTTTAAAGAGTCTTTAACTTTTAAAGATAAATACTAAATTTTTTTTTTTAAAGTAAAAAAATGTCCAGTGGTGCTATACTTACATTGTAAGCCACATAGGTCCATTTTGACACTTTTACTGGAACCCACATAGATGTCCCTAAGGTAAAGGAAATTAATTTGTTTGGCTTGTTTTTTTAAATATATGTATAAACCAATTTCTTTTATTGAATGCTGGTGAAATGCTTCTCAGTCATAATAGGATTTGAAAATGAAGTGGTTTCCTGAACACTGGCTATTTTAAAATAGAAAATCTAGTGAGATGTTCTCTATATGCTCATCACTAACTAGCATTCACATCAAGTAAAGCATTTGAAATCTATTTGGTGTCCTTAGCTCTAAGGAAGTATCACTAGAAGGAAATCAATATTTCATTTTCCAAACAAGACAAGTAATTAAATAGAGTATGACAGGTATCATATATAAAAGCAAAATTTACCAGCAAAAGATATGCTGTGAATTCAAGAGAAAAGTGAAGAATGACTGATACTGAGATACTAAGTCAAGAATAATATAGCACTTATTTCATGTGACTGTCAGGAGAATACAGACAATTAACTCAATCTTTTAAATTTTTCAACCTGTCATGTTGGTTTTAGGACAAAATTTTTACCAGCAACATTTTACAAATTGCTCTTCAGCTTTTTCCCTTCCTTAGTCAAGAACTTCGTAAGAAACCATCATAGAGAAATTAATAAGAGGTAACAGGATTATAGTACCTGAAGTATCACAGTTTCAAAGACTATCTGCTAATAACAATAATCAAAACTGTACTTAAAATTAAAGCACGTTATTACCACTAACCTGTTAAGTCAGAAATTATTGCTGGATTTTCCTCAAAGTGTTTTGCTGGGTGTCTTATGAAGTGGTGATTCAAAACCGACAATTTCTTCTTGGGATTTTCAGTTATCTAGAAATAACATTGATACATTTTGTATCCTTTCATATTCATTATGATAGTTCAATAAAACTTTGCTTCAAGTAATACTGATTAGAGCCAACAGTGACTCTGGGCTATGCACTATTCTATAATAAGTGCCCTAACATGTTAACTATTTAATCATCACAAGAACTCTAAGAGATAATAACCTTCTTATCTATATTTTAAATATGAAGAAACTAAAGCACAGAAAAATTAAGTAACTTACCCAGCGTCATGCTCCTATTAGGAGTCTGGACCAGTATTCAAACCCAGGCAGTCTGGCTCCAGAGGCCACAGTTTTAATCATTAGGCAATAGTGTCTCTCAAATAACAGTTGATTAAAAAGTATATATGAGGTGTCATAAAAAAATACAGTTAAGTATTTAAACAAAAAAGAAATTTACTACAGTAAAAGACTCATTGCTATTAATCCCCCTCAAAATTCTCCCCCTCACTTCGAAAACACTTATCCCATCATTTTTGCCACTTTCTGAAGCAGTTCTGGAAGTCCTCTTTCGTGAGTGTCTTTAGTTGCACTGTCGTGGCTTCCTCAATGTCCTGAATCATTTGACTTTGGGGAAGAGCCATAAGTCATACAGTGACAGATCCGGTGAATAAGGTAGATGAGGACACACTGTAATGTTTTTATTTGACAGAAATTGCTGTACCAGAAGCAATGGGTAACACAGAGCGTTGTCATGATGGAGGATGATTTATGGCATACTTTAAAACACACCTTCTCTCAACCATAGCTCACTCCTAACTGACTGCACTGAACAAGTTGAAACTTGTCACACACTGTTATTAAGGTTCAACGCACTGCCTCCTGTACTGAAGCTCCCTGCCTTTCTGCTGGATGGCACTCAGCACCAGCATTTACCGTATTTTGTGATCACAAGTGGGAAGGTTTCCGTGTCACACATCACTTCTAGTACGGCAATTTATGTCAAATAAAACATTATGGTGTATCCTCATCCACATTATTCACCTGATCTGACACCATGTGACTTCTGGCTCTTCCCCAAAGTCAAAACGACCATGACAGGTAAACATTTTGAATCAATTCAGGACATTGAGGCAGCCACGACAGTACAACTAAAGATACTCATGAAAGAGGACTTCCAGAACTGCTTCAGAAAGTGGCAAGAATAATGGGGTGTGTTCAAAGGGAGTATTTTGAGGGGGATTAATGGCAATGTGTCTTTTATTGTAATGAATTTTTTTTTTTAAGATTTTTATTGGGGAATTGGGGGATGGGAACAGTGCTGGGGAATTGGGGGAAGGGGAACAGACAAGTTGCTGTCATTTTNGGATGAAAGGATAAAATGCTTAGAATTCGCTTTAAAAAATTCTTTAGTCAAAAAAAAAAAAAAAGAAAGGAAGTGAGGAAGGGACAAATAAAGTTAGAATGGCAGAGAACAGATAACTGTTAAAGCTGTTTGTGATGGTTCCATGAGAATCTGGTATCGTATTCTCTCTCTACTTTTGTTTGAAAACTTCAATAATAAAAATGAGGGGATGGTTTTAAATTCAACATATGACCTTATGCTAATTAATATCCATGGACAGTAATTACAGAAAAGGGATCCTCCAATAAGCCAAATGGACAATTTGCACTTTGGCAAGGATTTTTCTCAGTATAATACAGATACTCTGATTTGAAATTTAGTACTGAATATGAATATTTTCACTCTCAGGGCCAGATTCTTGTGGAATAAAGAACCCATTCAGATTTTAAGCTGAGAGATGCTAGTCTCTGTGAGGGATGCAAAACTCTGGTAATCCCATTAAAATTAGTATTCATTAACATCTAGCCCACAATGCCCGCCAACCATCTTTTCTAAAGGCTTTATTATATATGAGATGGCAGCATCTACCAACTAAGTGATATAATAGATCCTAGTGTATTATCAGCTACAAAAACATTTTGATGAATACTTTTCAATCAAAACTCTGTTCCAGACAAATATTTTTTAAATAATTAGATAATAATTAGATTTAGTAATAGTGTACAGATAAAGATGAGATCTACTAGATATTAGTTGAATTTAAAAAATGAACAGCTAGCTTTTTAAATTTACATAAAGTGTACCAATTATCTTACCAGCATCGTGCTCTGACAATAGGCATGAGTGTAGATTTTTCTATGATTTGCAAGAGGAAATGTAAAATATATTTTATCAGATTCCTAAAAAAAGAAAGAAAACACAAAACTATCACAAGAGTAGATAATTTCATCATTCAAAAATCCAGATAACATAGATGGATCTTGAGATTATTATACTATTCAAAATAAGTGAGACAGGAAAAGTTGAGCACCCTATAATATCACTGATATGTGGTATATAAAACTCAAAACAACAAAGGAAAAAGACAAACAAATGAAAAAACAAACATTCATATACACAGACAATAGTTTAGTGGTTACCAGAGGGTAAGGGAGCGGGGGTGGTAGATGAGGGTAAAGGGATCAAATATATGGTGATGGAAGGAGAACTGACTCTAGGTGGTGAACACACAATGTGATATATAGATGATGTATTACAGAATTGTACACCTGAAACCTATGTAACTTTACCAGCAATTGTCACCCCAATAAACTTTAATTAGGAAATAAATAAATAAAATTAAAAAAATAAAAGTTAAAAAAAAATCCAGATAAGGCAATCATTAATAATTCTAATTCTATTTGGTTCTCAGAAAAGTCACGACGCATTTTTGCAATGAAAAACATAGAAAAAATAAGTCATGACTTTTCCGACAACCCAATATTATTCCTAGTGCTGTTCAGAACCAATATTCTAGGAGTGGGAAGGCGAAGATACAGATGTAAGGTAGAGAGATCAGATAAAAACCCTATAGTACTGAATTTGTCTTAAAAGTATCAGTAAGAGGTTGGACAATCAAGTTCGTAAACTCATCCTAGAAAAAGTGCTACAGACCTCATTGCTGAATATCACTATGGTCACCTTCTAAGTACTCCCCTTGGGAAACTGCACCAATGCCAGCACCTAGTCCACCCTTCAAAGCAATTCTGGAACTCTTTTTCTGGCATGGCTATCTGAGCTGTCATCGTATTACCCTTGACATCCTGAATGTCATCAAAATGTCTTCCTTTCAGTATTTCCTTTATCTTTGGGCAAAAAAAGAAGTCATTGGATGCCAGATCAGGTGAGTTGGGAGGGTGTTCCAATACAGTTATTTGTTTACTGGCTAAAAACTCCCTCACAGACAGTGCTGTGTGAGCTGGTGCACTGTCGTGATGCAAGAGCCATGAATTATTGGTGAAAAGTTCAGGTCGCCTAACTTTTTCACGCAGCCTTTTCAGCACTTTCAAATAGTAAACTTGGTTAACTGTTTGTCCAGTTGATACAAATTCATAATGAATAATCCCTCTCATATAAAAAAAAGTTAGCAACATCGTTGCAACAAGTTCACAAACTTAATTGTCACACCGCGTATGAATGCATGTGTTTTGCTTTGGTTTGGTTTTTTGGTCTTATGGTCAAGATAAAATATCTTTTTTAGCTCTGTCTACTGAAAAGGCCTAGAAACGCTAACCCACTAGCCATAAGCATCTCTAGTGCCTAGATTATGGTTTTTATGTGCCATTTTCCAAATATCAGAAGAGTTCCTTAGAGAAAAAAGTTGATTCAAGGTCTGGGGCAGGAGAAATACAAAATGCGCTGAAGCATCTTTGCATACCAGGTAGTGAGAAAACTGTCAAAAGGCAACTAAAGAGACAACTTATCAAAAAGATTCTGGAGCCTCACTTGAAATGGCTTACACTGGTCAAAGACAGAACAATTCTAATATCGATTTTGATATCAAAAATAGAACAATTTTAGTGTTTTAGTTTAGATAGAAACACGAATATCCTTAAATACATGAGTTCATAATAATATTGGGTTGGGGATGACCCAAAACCTCTTACGTTCACTGACAAAGGCTGTTTGTGAACCAACTCACTATTCTGAAAATCAGTACTTATAAGAACCAAAGATCCAAGCAATTATCATTTTTTCCTTTACAATTTGTTCCACTTTTGATAAATTGAGTAGATGAAGAGTTTTTCTATAAATGAATGAAGAGTTTTTCTATAAATGAATAAATGAAGAAGGAATAATCAAATTAGGCT